TTTTTATTACCAGTTTATTATAATTTACACCCCATAAGACACAAAACCAACTTAATAAAAAAAATTATCTTAATTTCCTAAGGTGAAAATAAATATTGTCTTGGAGAAATGGACTAATTGGTACCTTCCGCCTAACTCCCGCTCTATTTGTGAGAAAAAAAATAGTTTGCATGCCATTATTTTGCCCATTGATGGCGCCTTGTGACTGTCCTCTTCATACCGGGTGGTTTTATGCTAATTGGTGGTCTGAGCTTTTTTATCCCGTGTTTATGAACGTCATTTTTCTGTCACTTAGAGCGCGGGTTTTTGTCGGGAGTTGCTAATTAGTCAATTTCTCAGAGCCGATGTTCGTTCTCGAGATGTTTTATATTGGAGAAAATTGCCAAATGATCTGTGTGTGTGGGTGTTTTTTTTTTTGTGTGTGTGTGTGTGTGTGCGTATGCGTGTGTGTGGGTGTGAAGAGGGAAACTCTAGGCCAGGTTTTTCTCCCTCCCTCCCTTTCTCTCTCTTTCCTCTTTTCTATTTCTCTCTCTTCCCTCCCCCTCCCTCTCTTTTTCCTCACTTCCTCCTTTTCTTTTTTTTCCCCTTCTTTGCCTCTATCTTTTCTTTTCCTCCCTTACACTCTCTCTTCTATTTTCTCCTCTTCCTCTCATCTCATCCTCTTACCCGGACCTCGCCTTCCTAGAGGAAGAGAGGGAGTGAGAGAAGGAGGAGGAGCAAGATAGAGAGAGGAAGAGAGAGTGGGAAAGGCGAGGAGGAGGAAGAGAGACAAAAAGAAGACGAGGGGGAACAGGAAAGTAGTTAGGGAGAGGAGGATTAGGAAGAGACCGACAGAGAGGAGGAGGAGGTAGAAGCTGGTGAGAAGGAAGAGAATGGGGAAAAGAGATAGGAGGAGGAGGAGGAAGAAGAGAATGAGAGAGAGGACGAAGAGGAGGAGGGAAGTGAGAGTGTAGAAGGAGGAAAAAGACAGAGAGGTGGAAGTGGGAGTGGGGGAAGAGATAGAGCAGTAAGAGGAAAAGAGAGCAAGAGAGAGAGAGAGCAGACAGGAGGAAAGAGAGATAGAGCGGACATGAGGAAAAAGAGAGAGCGGGCAGGAGGAAAAAGAGATATAGAGAGAGCGGGCAGGAGGAAAAAGAGATATAGAGAGAGCGGGCAGGAGGAACGAAAGAAAGAGCAAGAGGAACAAGAGAATGACAGATGGAAGAAAGAGAAAGAGAGAGCGGGCAGGAGGAAAAAGAGATATAGAGAGAACGGGCAGGAGGAACGAAAGAAAGAGCAAGAGGAACAAGAGAATGACAGATGGAAGAAAGAGAAACAGAGAGTAAGAAAGGAGAGGAGAATCAAAAGGAAGACATGGTATGAGAGGAAGAGAAGAAAGGAGGAGGAGGAATAGAGGGAGAGAAGAAAGGAGGAAGAGGAAGAGAGAAAGAGAGGGAAAAAGGAGAGGAGGAGGAGGAAGGGAAAATTGAGAGAAGGAGGAGAGGAGGAGGAAGGGAGAGAGTGAAGGGTGAGGTGGAAAGCAAAACGGGTTTGAGGTCTTCTTTTCCCTTTCTTCATCCTTCTTCCTCTCTCTTTATTCTCTTTCTCTTTCCTTTCTATTCCTCATTCTCTGTTGTACTTCCCTTTCTCTCTCCTTTCGTCCCATCCTCTTCTTCCTTCTCTTCCTCTCTATCCTTGCTAGTTGTCTTTTCCTCTTTTCTCCCTCCTTTACTTCTCTTTCTCTCTTTCTTTCACTAATGTTTATAGTGTTTACTCTTTCTTTTTTGTGCGCATATTCCTCCTTTCATCACTATCATTTCTTTTTCTCTTCCCTTCCTTTTCCATTGTCCATTTCGTTACTACTCCTCCCTTCATCATTATCTCTTCTTCCTTTTCCATTCTCCATTTCTCCTCTCTTCATCATTCTCTCCTCTTCCTTCTTCTGTTCCGTCTCTCCCTCCGCTGCTCTTCCTCTGCCAAGGACGCGCGAGGCAAGGCGACAGCAGCGCTACTGAAGGCGTCAAGGCTCCAGGACTCCGGTTCCGTCGCTCTCTCTCTCTTTCTCTCTCACTCTCCGTCCCTATCTCTTTCTCTCTCACTCTCCGTCCCTATCTCTTTCTCTCTCACTCTCCGTCCCTATCTCTTTCTCTCTTTCTCTCTCTCGCACCCACTCTCTCTCTCTTTCCTTCTCTCTCTCACTCTTCCTTTCTTTCTTTCTCTTTCACTCTCTCTCTCTCTCTTCTTCTTCTTCTCTCTCTTTCTCCCTCTCCCTCCTTCTCTCTTTCCATCTCCCTCTTCCTCTCCCTCTCTCTGCCTCTCCCTCCCTCTCCCTCTTTCTCTCTCTCTCACTGACTCTCCCTCCCTCTGTCTTTCTCTCTTTCCTTCTCTCTCACTTTTTCTCTCTCTTTTCTTTATCCCCCTCTCCCTCTCTCTCTCTCTTTTCTTTTCTCTCTCTATTTGTTTCTCCCTCTCCCTCTCTCCCTCCCTTTCTTCCTCTCCCTCTCTCTCTCTTTCCTTCTCCCTCTCACCCCCCTCTCTCTCTCTCATTCACTCTCTCCCTCTTTCTTTCTCTCTATCTCTTTCTTTTATTCTCTCTCTTTTCTCTGTTGTTGTTTTTTCTCCCTCTCTCTCTTCCTTCGCTGCGTCGTTGTGAAGTGAATTCTTTTTTTTGTTCCATCAAAGTTTATGGTGCCCCTTTACCCATGCGCCGGCCCCCGCCAGGCGGACCGCGTCTTTCGAGCCATTGTTAGCGTCATCCTTGCCTTTCGTTTTCAGTAGTTATATAGCTTTTAATGCGTGTTAAAATCAGTCCTTTTATTCGTTAATGCATAGTTTTACTAAAGATTCTTATGTGTGTTAATTGCTTATATATACCTTTTTATTTTTTACGTTTCAATATTCATAAATTCGTATGGATTATTATATAGTTATAAATGTTTGATTTATGAATTAACCTTATGAGGTTTACTGAAACAAAACAGTATGAAGGCTTTTACTGATTTCTTTCAACCTTCGTAAGGAACGAGTGGCTCAGGCGATTGGTTTTGTTACATCGACCACATTACCATAGCAATTTTGCCAGATAGTCAGTTTTCGACTCACTGTTCCGCTCAGTTTTATTTGATAAATTCAGTTTTTTTACACAACGACAGCGAGCCATAGTAACTTTTCCAATTTCTATTTCCATGACCACTAAGAATGAAAAAAAAAAGAGAGACTTTTGGTCCAGTTGGAGGCTCAGCTCTGGCACCATTCGTGGTTTGACTGTTATTATGATTCTCGTAATTATCATTATCATTGTTTTATTACTATGACTGTTATCGCTGTCATTATTATTATTATTTTTATTATCATTAGCATTATTTTCCCTGCTGCTATAGTTATTGTTATTGTTGTTGTTGTTATTATCATTGTCAATATTATTATCAGTTATAATATTACTTTTATTTGACTGTTATTGTTATTATCATTGTTATTATTGTTTTCATTTATCCCCAACTCTCTCTTCCTTCCTATGTCCCAGAATCTCTTGTTCAATTCTCTTTCCTCTCTCTGTATTTTTCTCTCATTTTCTTCATTTTCCATTTTCTCTACAGTTCCACTCTCTCCGCCTCTCTTTCTACTCTGTATCTCTCATATCCTTCCCTTTCTCATTTTTATTCCGTTTTTATCATCCTCTCTTTTTCGCTCTCTCCTTTCTTGACTTCCTTTCTATTTTCCCCTTCCTTCTTTTTCTCCCTCTCTCTGTTCTCTGCCTCCCTTACTCTCTCCTCTTCCTTTCTTCTCTCTCTCATTTCTCTTTCTTTTTCCTGTTTCTCCCATTCCCTTTCCCTCCTTTCTCTTTTCTCCTACTCATTACTCTTCCTCTATTTTATTTTTTCTTCGTCTTCTTCGCTCTTCCTTCTATCTCTTTTTCCTCCATCTCACTGATATTCTCTATTTATCCCTTCTTTTCTTATTATTCTTCCCCTCTTCCTTTGTCTTTTCTCTTCCTTTCTTTTTATTCTTCCCTATTCCTTTACCTTTTCCCTTCCTTTCTTTATTATTATTATTATTACTATTAGTGTTGTTATTATTAATAATATTATGGTTATAGTACTGCAATCACGCCTTGAAACACACAACTAATTAAATTTAATATTTTATTATTATTTTCATTATTACGATCATCTTTACTATTCTTTTAAATATTGTTATTATTATTATTAATGTAATTATTATTATTATCATTATTATCATTATCATTATTATTGTTATTATTGCTGTTATTATCATTATTATTATCGTTATTATTATTGTTATTATTATTATCATTACCGTAATGCTAAAATCCTCATGATCGTTCATAATTCATATACAAATGAGCATTTCTTTAAATTCATTTCATTTGCCGATTTGTGGAACGGAACATTTCGAGAAGAAATATTGTCTCGGGAAAATGGACGAATTGGCACCTTCCGCCAAACTTTTTAAGAGAAAAAAGTTGTTTGCATGCTGATGGCACCTTGTGACTTTTTACTTCACAACCGGTGGTGTTGATGCTAATTGGTGGTATGAGCTTCTGTATTCTGTGCTTATGAACATCATTTTTCTCTCTCACTCGCGGGTTTTTGTCGGAAGTTGCCAATTAGTCAATTTCCCCGAGCCGACATTTCTTCTCATGATCTATTATATTGAAGAAAATTGCTAAGTGATGTGTGGGCATGTGTGTGTGTCTATGCGTGTGTTCGTGCCTCTGTGTGTGTTTGTGTGTGTGTACATGTGTGCGTGCGTGTGTGTGTGTACACGTGTGTGCGTGTGTGTGTGTGTGTGGAGAGAGGGAAACTCTAGGCCAGTTTTTATACTTGCCAAAGTTCCATCTCAAAAGGCAGTCATTCTAAAGGCAAGAAACGCATATCGGCAATTATTATGCGCCACACTTGGAGGGGCCCTTCCTGTCCCTGCGTTTGCTTTCCTCTTTCTTCACTTTGTCGTGCATGAGCTGTGCATTCCTCCGAAAGGTCAACTCTTATTCTTATTCCTGTATTTTTTTTTATTATTGAATTATTAAATTACATTACTTAATATTAAATTATATTATTAAATGATTAAATGATATTTTTAAGTTATTAAAGGATATTATTAATTTATTAAACTAAATGATAATGATTAAATTCTTCGCATTCCTTATGAAAAACACTCCTCTGGCGTCTATGCAATTTCTCCTCCGCAGCTGTTCTTTTCTTTGATTTTTTGTTGTTGTTGTTGTTCTGTCACCCACTTCATCTAAAATTGTCGTTGTCCACCGTTTCCGTTTAGATTTTTTGGTCTTCTTAAGTGTGGTTTCTATAGCAGATTCTCTGATCACTTTACTCTGCCATTTCTTGCAAATAGTCAAGTTCTTACTTTCTTATTCTTTATCTTATTCTTGTTCCTACTTTATTCTTACCATTATTAAGGTGTATCTATATTATCGTATGATCGTCATCATTTTGTGAATAGATATCATTATCATTATCATCTGTGTTTTTTACTATTGATATCCGTAGATAATTGTTCCCACCGTCATATAGTTTCATCTTTATTATTTTTTTATCTTTCATGTTGTAGCTTTTTATGCTAGTGCATTTTTTTTTTCGTTTTATTGGATTTTCTTGTGCATTTGCGTTCATTATTATTACTTTTAGTTTTCTTATTCAAAATTCACCATTATTCTAATTTTTGCTATTATTTTTTGGGAAATAATATTGCTATTATCATAATCATTGTCATCGAAGTGTCTCATTATATTAATGTCAGTAATTATTCGAGCCATCATATATTTCCATAATCATCTTGTTATGATTATTACTACAGTTTAGTTTTGCTATTTTAAATAGTTTTTATTTAATTATTAGCATTATTTACCATTATTTTTATTAATCATTTTATTATTTATCATTTATTTCTTTATTATTAATAATTTATTAACAACATTTATTATTAACATTATTTTCGCGTTTGCTGCAGTTCTTGTTATTATTATAATTTTTTAGTAGTAATAGTATTTCTATTATTATAATTATCCTTATTATTATCACTGATATTTTTTTACTATCATTGTTGCTATAATTATCACCGTTATTATTACTATTATAATCACCATCCTTTTAGTAGTAGTAGTAGTAGTATCATAACTATTTTTATTATTAGATTTAGCATTTTTATTCTTATATCATTCTTATCTGTTATTAACATTATCATCTTTATTATTACTCAGATTATGATCCTCATAATTACTACTACTACTAAACTAATATTGTTGGTATTATTATTAATCGTATTATCATTATTAGTTTTATTTTTTTTTATTATTTATAAGTATTATTATCATTGTTGCTCGGCCTTTCGTTGTTCCTCCTTTTGTAATTGCTGCTTTTTACCACTTTTTTCTTCTATATTATCATTTACACCATTATCATCATTATCATTAATATCATGACCAGAAAGAAATGCCTTTTTCGGAGGGCGGAGCTTTGTCAGCGAAGGCACTGATCGCCTCCTCAACTCGGACGATTTTCAGGCCGAACGGCGATGCACTGGGCAGCCAGGCGGGGGCATTGGTGGGCGCTGGAGGCTCTTGCGGCGGGCGGGGCCGACATGGACCCTGTCGATGATGAGGGCGACACGCCACTCCACGACCCAGCTTCAAGCGGGCAGCTTCTCGTGGTTGGCGTCCTAACTGGCCTCGGGGCGTCCATCAGCAAGAAGAATAAGGACGGGAAGACTCCGCAGGACCTGTTGGGGATATCTCCAGCTGATAAATTCCTCTCCATGGTAATGACAGAAGGCAATCAGACTGATATATACCAATGTGCTGTTATCAGGCTGGGCGCTTTGGTCGTTGGCTACACTTTCTGTTGTTTATTAGTCGGAGAACTAATACACTAACTCTAGCCGACTAAAGCGATTTATTTTTCAGGTGAAGAAATGTGCTGCGGCCGAGAAGGAAAAAATGAGGGAGATGCAGGTTAGTTCTTATTTTCCCAAAAGATCCAGTTCTATGTGCACATGCGGAGCATTCGAAGAAAAAACAAAGAAACAGAATGGAGAAACTGAAATCATGCGTAGAGTAAGACTAACCTGAAAGATGATCGCTCTGATCTGCTTCTCGACTCAAATCCCGCTTTATTCACCGAGTCTTAAGGAGCCGATGGTCGTCTGGTTCCGCTTCCGCTGCGGCGCCAAAGCAGTTCCCACGACGCTTTCCTGAGACTGTTTTCCCTTGCAGGACAAACTCGAGGAGCAGGAGGAGATGAGCAAGAGGTATGACTTGAAGATGGCGGAGGCAGCCACCCTACAGAAGGAAATCGAACAGTTGAAGAAGGACCTGCAGGAAAAGGAAAAGGAAAACAAGGTAACTCAGGTGTGCGTAATAGATACAGGGAGGGAGAGAAAAGAATGAAGAAGAAGGGAGAGGAGAGAAGAAAAGAAAAATGTGATAGTAGGGAAGCCACAGAGAACAAGGGAGTGGGGACCTAAGTAGAAAGATATGAGGAGACACTTACCTGTGACTTTTCTCTTGCAGGACAAACTCGAGGAGCAGGCGAAGAAGATGAAGGCAGAAACCAAACAGGTAGAGGTACGTGCACAGAGAGAGGGTTGTCCTCGGGTATCTGATTCCCCTAGCTAGAGAAACATTCTTGACGAGCGTCGTCTCCTCCGCAGGCTGAGTACGAGGCCCGAATGCGGGACTCGAACATAGCCTACAACACCAAAGAGGACGAGGCAGCCGACCTGAAGAGGGAGAACAGAGACCTGATGATAGAGATTGGAAGAAAGGAAGAAGAGATCGCATCTCAAAAGGTATGGAAGGGAGATGAAGAGAGGAAAGAGAAGAGTGAGAAAGAGAAAGAGGTGTAGGAGAGAGAAACACAGAAAGAGAAAGAATAAGGATAAGTCCAATATGCGAAGCTGAGCTTCGCCCGGGCTATGGGGCAGCCCGGCCTGTGCCGACTAATGTCGACTCGCTAACAGTGTGTCAGCAGGTGCTAACTCGGGTGAGCTTAGTCCTTACCCACCGTGGTGCCCAGCCACAGCAGTAACCTCCAGGCGACAATTGCAACTTCTCTCGCCTGGGCGGGGCGCGAACCGCCGACCCCTCGGATGAGAGGGCGACACGTTACCATTGTACTAGCCCGGAGGCTAGAGAAAGAATGTGGGATGAGGATATGAAAGATAAAAGACGAGAGAGAGAGAAAGGGAGGGAAGGAGGGAGGTTTTCACAAAAGTTAGGTGGAGAGAGAGGAGACCGGCAAACAATCATATCTTAAGACAGTGTAGAAGAATTTATTCATATTTCTAGCCGTGTCTTTATTGTAATGTAGGAATACATACATTTCTTCATGCGTGTGCATGCCAGTGTCAAAGAGGTAGATAATCGGACGAAAATAGAGAGCTATCGACCGACTGTAGGAACATGATACTTCTTTTTCTCTAGAGAAACTTGAGGTGGGGCAAAAATAGGGCAAGGATTGAGCTCTGACGAGGCAGATGAGAGTGGAGAGTGAGCTCACACGAGCCGAGGTAAGTTCTCCCTTTGGAAACCAAGGAACCGCTGATGTAGGCACACGCTGATAGGAAGAGATAATGCATATTGCCAACAAATACATGTCTTGTGATGCAATACTCATAAAGTCGTTCGTTTCCAGGCAGAGCACAGTGACAGGGTGAAAAGTCTTAAAAGGAGGGAGAACAGGAAGGAGAAAGAGGCAGCCAAAGCGAGAGGCGAGCTTGAGAAGAAGCTCAGTAGACGAGACAAGACGATCGAGATCCTTAAGGTAGGGGGAGTTGATCATTCGCACACACGTGTTGATGGTGGTAGCAACCAAATAGAGACTAATGTCTGATAATGCCAAAAATGGAAAATAACCTAAGAATTGATGTTGTTTCCAGAAAAAGCTCAGTGATCAAGAAGAGGAAAGAGAAATGGACTTTCAACTCGAAGAGGAAGACAGCGTCTTAAAGCGAATGATTGTAAGTGGGTCACGCATCGAGACACATCCCTATGAAAAGGAAATATGTGAAAAAGAAAGCACCTACAATAAGAAATTAAACTAAATCGTAACGTTTAGAACTCGTTAAAAGCTCCTTATCAGGGACTTTGGACGAGTTCAAAGCATTACAATTTAGTTTAACTTTTTATTGTGACTGTTTTCCTTTTCATGTTTGTGTACACGTTACTGCGTTTCTTTTTGTGACAGAATGTGTGCGTGTAAGATGAGGAAATGTGACATATTGCAATATGTATACCAACACCCATACACACACGTATGTATAGCAACAAGGGCGGAGGTAAGAGGGACCCATAGGGAAGGATCTTGTGTGGTTTCCCTGCAAGTCAATGGACTTCATGTAGCCTCAGGCTCTCAGGGCACGGGCCAGCCTTTGAGTAAGAGGGAAAGGGAGTCAAGAGTTTAGATATCGAACATTGATGGAAAGCATGAGAAGTAGATACAAGTAATTATTTCGTTTCTGACATTTCAGAGGCAGTTCCTTGAACAAGAAGGAAAAAACAAAAAACTTCAATCCTCTGACTCAGGCAGGAGGGACAGGGCCTGGGGAGCAGCCGGCAGCGACGAGACTCCTCCAGTAGCTGCCACGGAGAGGGCTAGGGGAACAGCAGGCAGCAGAGTTAAGGCTACAAGAGCACCAAAAAGCGACGAGCCTGTGCAAGCCGCAGGCAGGGCTAGGCGTCCGGAAGCAGCAGGCAGGAGGGAAGGGGCAGGGCGAAAGGAAGAGAGGAGGGCCAAGTCTAAGGGAGCAGCCGACTGGGACGAGGTGCCACAAGACGAGAGGGATGAGTCGCCACAAGAAGACGACAGGGACGAATTGCCACAAGAAGACGACAGGGACGATTCGCCACAAGAAGACGACAGGTACGAGTTGCCACAAGACGACAGGGACGAGTCACCACAAGAAGATGACAGCGAAGAGTCAATGTGATTTTCATCCAGCTTTGTAAAGATCGTGTGTAAAATAGCTAATATATATGAAGCATATA